CAATGTATATTGAAATTATTTTTATCTAATAAAGTTCATTAAATACTTAAAAAAATTTATAGCTATCCTCTTTTTATTTGTTTTCATTCCCTTTTTTTCTTCATTTCTCCTTTTTTCATTATTTATTTGAATATTTATTAGAATTCCACTTTGGTTTATCTGTCGAATACTTAGCTATGCCTCTGTGTTATTGTTCCAGTGGAAGATGAGATTTCTCCTAATGCTGAACCACACAGCCTTTATTCCCAATCCCTCTGACCGGAAAGACAGGCTTTCTCCAGGAGTTTAGCTCCTCATGTCACAACTCCACTAAAAAGCCATTCTTCGGTCAAAGCCATGAGAGAAAACTGACCTCCATGCATGTCACAATTCCAATATTTTTACTTTCCTCCTCAGTCTCCCTGCCTCTTTTTAATTTCAGAGCTCACACGTAGAAGCATTTTTATTTTGTCCAGAATTTTTGTTGGAAACTATGAGACAAACAGACTATGATGGGCTTGTTCCATCTTATTCCATCAAATGTTATGTCTGGTTTCATTGAAATATATACAACCTATATATGCATAAAACTATTTTAAAAGTTACTGAGTTATATAGACACCCTTGCAAACATCATCTAAACCAAGTTCTCCAGTTTTGTTTTGTCTATTTTTTATGCTGTGTAATTAGGTTACATGCTAATTTAGAAGCATTATTTATGTATCTCTTACATTTTTATGAGATAATCATTGCTATCTAGAAGTACTTTTGCTTTAAATTCTACTTTGTCTGCTAAAATGTCATAAAATTCCATATTTCGAAGTCTACTGTCTGATATCAATACAGCCCCTGAATCTTTGTTTTAATTAGTATTTACATGGTATATCTTTTCTCATCTTATTTTTATTATGCTCAATTCACTCTATTTAAGGTGGGTTTCTTATAGACCATGTATAGTCTATTTGGTTTGGTTTTGTGGTTTTTGCATAATATATCCTTGTTTATCTTTTTACTGACAGTGTTGTTGAATTTGATTTATAAATGTGCCTTATAACTCACATGGATAGTTGTGTTTTGTTTTTTAATCAGTCTGTAAATTTTTGTCTTTTAACTAGAGGAATTTTGGAATTTAAATCTCCACAGATAAAGGATGGGCAATCTCCTCCCGTGTGATTATTGTCCCTGAAAACCCACTGGATGGTCAGCTTTGGCTTGGTTCCTACTCAGTGGCACACAACAACAACAAATCATCTTCCTCTCTCTGAGCAGCTGGTGGATTTGAACTGCATACCTTTGCATTGGCAGCTCAGTTCCTTACCACTAAAGCCATGAGTACCCCCTCTAGTTTTATTAGATGTAGAATATTTTTTTCAGCATGTCAAAGATACAGTTCTTATTGCTTCTATTATTGATATCAGCTCACATTACAACAACCATACCTTTACATTAGTGTGTGTTTTTTTCCTAGTTCTTTTAAGGACTTTTTTCTTTGTAATTATCCTCTTTGTCAGGATACAGAAAAATTTTATAGTGTCCATATGAAACTTACTGTGATTTTTTTAAGTCAGTAGTTTGAAATCTTTCATTGCTTTTAAAAATTTCTCAAGCCATTTCTTCCCTAACAATTTCTTCTGCCTTACATTCCTTTCCTCCTCATTTTGTGAGGTTCACCTAAGCATTCAGTTAATATTACTGTATTCTCTATGTCTCTTAGGAAGCTCTAGTGTCCCAGGGGTAAGGAATTGCAACCCAAAGTCACTCAGTTCGCATCCATCAGCTGCTTGGTGGGAGAAGGATGGGCAGTCTCTTCCTGCCTCTGAAAACCCATGGGAGGGTCAGCTAGGAGTCATTTCTGACTTGATCATAAATGATTGCAGGGTTCTTGAACAAACTGGTTTAGTAATCTCTTGATAATAAGTGTAAAGGCTGAATTAAGCCAAAGGCAGTTTATGTGCTCATTTGCTGTGACAGTATACAAGAACTCTGTGTGTGCCTCCTCCCTCAGCCACCCAGTTCTCAGCAATCGCCTTCTGTCCTCAGGAGCTGCCTTGTGAGCGTAGAGCCTGCCATCAGCACCAAGCATCTCCCCTACCAGAGCTTCCAGCTCTTCGGCTTTGACTTCATGGTGGATGAGGAGCTGAAGGTGTGGCTTATTGAAGTCAACGGTGCCCCCGCTTGTGCTCAGTAAGCCTGAACCCCCTTGTGTGTTAACATGTGAGAAGTCATCTTCACAGTTAGGATTAAATAGCAGAGTCTTGGAAAAGTGATGAGCTCCCATTACTGAACGGGTTCGCGGGGAGCTCCTGTAATAGCTGTTATGAAGGATGACACAGCAGTGGGGTCCTCTTGGGAACTAGTGACACCAGGCTTTGCTGGGCTGGTTCTTTTCTCATCCCCACAGTGTGTGTATTGGTTCATCTCTGCTCAGGTGCGTGTCAGATGCAGTGAGAATTTGAAGCAGGCTAGTATAGAAACCCTCTCCTCTGACAAGTTGAGCCTCACCGGGCCACTTGCTCTTTCACATGATACATTTGCAGTTTCCTAGACACCCAGTGCTCTCTCTTGTGCATGTTACTCCTTTGCTTGTGTTTCTCTTTCTCTACACACACACACACACACACACAGTCTTTCTCTCTTACCTCATTCTGTATTCCTGGAGCCCTGTGTCTTTCTCTCCTCTTTTCATTTCTCTCTTTGACCTTTCCTCTGTCCACATTCTTTATACTCACCAGGGCTCAATGAAGCTGTCACTCCCAGAGATTCTTTGCTAATGTCTGGTCAAGCACACTGAATTTGTTCTCTTCCTGGTCAATGCCTGCCCCTCCTGTACATCCATCACAGACTGGCAAAATTGCTTTTTATTATTATTGTTAGATTCTATTCTGGAGTCTAAGGGGTACCTAATATAGGCCATGGTCTTTGCAATTACTTGCTATGCATGAGAGAGCTGAACAGTGACTAGGGATGATAGGAGAGTTGATGCCTTTGAGCTGTGGTGCTGGAGAAGAGTATTGAATATACCATGGACTGCTAGGAGAACAAACAAGTTCGTCCTAGATAGGGTGAAGCCAGACTGCTCCTTGGAGGCAAGGATTTTGAAGCCCCATCTGACACACTTTGGACATATTGCAAGGCGGGATCAGTCCTTGGAGAGAGACATCATGTTTGGGAGGGTGGAGGGACAGCACAGGAGAGGAAGACACTCAATGAGATGGATTGATTCCATCACTGAGGTAATGGGGATATGTGTGTCGGAGACAATAAGATTGGCAAGGGATAGAACAGGGTTTAGGGTTGCTGTGAGTCACAAGCAACTTGACAGCACATGACAACATTGACATTTTGTGTCTTTCCCCTCAGTGAAAGCACAAGTTGTCTGTCTTCTTCACCTTCAAGGCCTACCATAAATGTTTGTTGAGGAAAATCATTATGATCATGCAGTGGCTCCTGGCTGACAACCTGTCTTGAGACCTGGGGCAGTGGGGAGTAGAGAGGGCATTGGGGGTGCCAACCACTCACACAGTTTAAAATCTGTGTATAATTTATAGTTGACCCTTGAGCAGCATGGTTTGAACTGTGGCCTCAAATGTCAGTAAAGCACCGAGTATTCCTTGAAAACGAAAGTGGCAGTAATCATCTCTCCTTGAGCAGGTCATCTCTCCCTCACAGGAGATGGTTAGTAACCGTGCACTCATCATAGTAACAACAGGAGAAGATAGCGTGTGTAAGAAAGAGGCCCTGCATAGTTCAAGCCCGTGGTGTTCAACAGTCCACTGTATTCATAAGGACAGTGGAGTTTGGTCTTGCAGATGTGGTTATTCTAGGGAAGATCCTGTTGGAAAAACTATGTTTGTACATCAGTGCATATTCCTGATGATACTTGTTTTCCAACCCATTCCAGGAAACTGTATGCAGAGCTTTGCCAGGGCATCGTGGACATAGCCATATCCAGTGTTTTCCCGCCCCCAGACACGGAGCAGCAGCCTACCCAGCAGGCTGCCTTCATCAAACTCTGATGGACAGGGTGCCCACAGCTGCCTCGGAGTTAGCATGGGCCCGGCTTCATGAAAGAGGAAGACAACTGCACACTATCAGGCTACAACTGGTGGGACAGAGGGAGAGTGCGAGGAGAAAGCCACCTTCCCAAAGAGGGGAGCACTGGAGGTCTTCCCTGACCAAGTGTGCCACACTGCTCAGAAGACTTGGAAGATGAAGCAGATTTCCTGGAGGGAGAGCAAAATGTTCTTCCAAGAGGGAAGATCCCAGAGACTGGTTGCTTTATTCTCTCATCCTTTGGATCTTGTTCTCCTGAGGCAGCATGGTGAGCAATGCCCATCCTTCCTGAGACTGCACACCGTTTGGACCTCCAATTGGTGTCTTCCCACCTGCTGCAGCCTTCGTGCCTTAGCGCTGTTCCCAGCGGCACCCTTCTACTCTGGGAGATAGAGTGGGTGCTAGAGCGTCTGGGAGGTTGCTACTATGTTAGCCAGTCGCCCTCAGCCCGGCAGTCGGCCCACTAAACTCTGGATGTCCTGGGTTTAGTGCTGCGCACCACCCACCCTGAGACAGGGCTTACTTTGCCTCATCCCAGTCCTGGTGGAGGTTGATCACTCAGTCACTGGGCAGGGTTGGTGTTGGGTGAGCACCAGGACAAGCACTGCTCTCGGTCAGCTCTCTGCATGTTTTAGTTAACAAAGCTGCAAGTTTGCCCAAAACCTATAAACACGAGTATGAAAGAGGAGAAAATACACATGATAGCTCACTTTTCTGGCCAGGTGGGTGTGGTTAGTTGTTTGAAAAATGATGATTCATTATTATCTTTGTTTTAAACTAGAATTCTAAATGCACTTTTGTAAACGTTCCCTTTTCTTAACTTTTTAAAGAAACCTGAGGATCGGGGGAGAAAGCAGGATTCCACGTCTCCTTGGGCTGGGCACACAAAGCTCTCCTGACTGTCTCTCTTTCATTTTCCCTGGGCACCTTGCACAGGATCTGAGAGGGCAAGTTGAGTCTTAGAGAGGGGTCTGCGCATGCTGACTCACACATCAGAAGAGAGGCTCAGAATAAATATATTCCCACTTTAAAAAGAAAGAAAGAAATATATTCCCACTTTAATGGGAGACTCTTCTAAAACTGAGGCGGGGGGGAGTCCTTCTAGAGCTCCATACAGCATTTTGTCTCTGTGCATGTACTGTTAGATCCACCTGGGGAACGAGTGTCATCTTGTCAGCAGGCTGCATCATTGGCAATGGGAAGAACAAGATGCAGTTTGTCGGCGTGAGCTGAGGAAAGGCACCCTTTTTATAATATGCCAGCAGCCGCCTTTGAAAAGCATGCTCCCCTCACCAACATGTGGCTCTGCTCCATCAGTCATTCCTACCTGGCAAAAAGCCAGGCAAGTTGTTTTTTTTTAAAAAAAAAAAGAAGAAGAAGAAGAAAAAAAAAAGCATCACCTCCCAAGTATGAGATGTGGAAGCTTATGGGGGTGGGGAGAAGGAATCATGATAAAAGTTATTTCATAAATGCAACCACTGGGTAGTGATAAGATGTGAAGGTGTTATTTAAGGGCTACTTGGAGAAGGGCCCACGTAAGTGGGTTGTCTTGGGAATTTGAAATATGAGAATAAAAACGCTTGTGGTTACCCAGGGTAAGGATCATGCAGTTGGCACCCAGAATAAGGCAGTGAGTGGTAACAATTGATCATGCCAGTGCAGCTGATGGACTAGTGTTTGAAGTCCTGAGAAGGGTGTGAGGCCCAGAAGACCACAGAAAACTGCATACCAGGCTCGAACAAATAGCATGTCAGTTCCTGACTCGCCTTGTGAGCAGATGATGGGGAGAGGCCTAGGTAGTACAACTCCACACTGATGCAGTATTGGGATTATCTTTTGGATCCAAATTGCATTTAAGAATTTCCCAGAATTGAAAGTGGCAAACAGTTAACAATTTAGATGTTGGGAAGTCTGAATCTTGACGTAATTTCAGATAATCTAATTTACTTAAAAGACATATAGGTGAGGAAAGTAAGACTTGAAAAAGTTTTGCTTCCTTCATCTGGTGACTGTGAGGTATCCCTTTGTGTGTTTCTTTCAGATCAGGCAGGCTGGATATTTCAGAGTTAGCTCTTACACTTCCATGACATCCTTGGCGCAAATGGTCGTACCTTGCCTCCCAGCCAGTCTTCATAGGTGAGATCCACAACAGTGTCTGCACCTGCTGGGGGAGAATGTGTCATTTAAGTGGAGGTGGTTTCCAGTGGTGGCTCTGTCCTTTGCTTGCATGCACTTCGTGCCTTAGCTGCTTATCGTGGAGGAGAACGTGCCTGCCCCGGGACAACCTCAAGGGCTCATTGTGAGGACAGATTAGATTAGGAAGACTCGGAACTTTCTAGGACCAAGGTTCGCAACAATGACTACATGCTAGAATCACTTGTGAAGCCTTTAAAAATGCTGATGCCAATACCTTTTTCTCCCTTAAGCTAACCACTTAACATCAGTATGTTTTAGAATTTATTAATCTGCTGCTTGCAAAAGAAAAGCAAGCATGTCATTAGTGTCGTAAGATTGGGTGAGACTGATGGATTTTAAAAAATTCTCTTGTAAAAGACAAACTCTTTATGGTTGGCCAGGTGTTGACATATCTCCACCGTGTGAGCTGGTTCTTCATGAGAAAATGTTTTTGCTTTTCATCATAGCATTTAGAAACTCAAACATGCTTCCATTTACTGAAACAGTGTATGAAGCTTAGGCAAAAATGTTAACAGGCATGAACTTATAAATCTGTGAAGTACCTGTTGAGGTTATTAATTAGAGAAAAGCCCTTCACATTTAACTCCTCTGGTGATTTAAACCCCATTTTACCAAGGGTCTTTAAGTGCCTCTGTGTTTGTCTGAGATGCTGAGCAGGTTTCTCAGAATGGTCATCATGAAAATCTGGTGATGCTGGGGTTTACAGGCCAGCCAGTGGCAGTGACACTACAGACATGCTTTCCAGGAGCAGCTGAAGGTGAATCCAGCCCAGTCCTGCTGAGGTGTGATGGGGCTTCAGGTGACAAGACACAGCCCACTCTGCATGCAAGTGTGAAAGAAAATGCCGTGGAATCTTGTCTCATTGTGGGCACAGAATCTGTACATAAGAGGAAAAGGCTTCTGGAATGAGGCAATTGTATGGATGTTGAAAATACCTGGAGCATTAAAGTAATAATATTTCAAGCTGTTTGTCCCCTTTGATTCTGTGATCTTACATAAGTATTTACTGCCCTGGGGTCTCACTGCTTATTTATTTCCACAGTATTGTTACTCAGAGTTGGCACATTCTCTAGATAATATTTCGGGATTTGCAAGTCATACTGTGTTCTAGTGCTTTATTCTTTTTCTTTTTACATTACTAAAAAAATGTAAAAATCCTTTTTCATTCATAAACTACACAAAACTAGTATTTGGCTGCATTTTGCTCACCTCTGCTTCTAGCCAACGCAAGATGTGAGAGGTTGTCTTAGAACATAGGAGTCAGCTGTTGCAGGGATTGTCTGGCTCACTGAAACCATTCTGGCTGTCAAAGTCCTCTGCGCCACCCACGTGACGTCTTGAGTCATAATGCAAACTGTGAGATGAGGCTCAGTGTTATGAAGGAAATTTTTATGTGCTTCAAACTTGGTGGGGAGAGGACTTCTGAAATGAACCACACAAGCTTCCAAAAATGGCTCAAAATATTTTAAAACTGAATAGACTTGTAGCAAGTGAAGAGATTGAATTAGTCATCGAAGACATACCCCAAAGAAAGGCTCAAGACCAGATGGCTTCACTGACTAATATCCCAAAGCCTTAAAAAAATAATTAACACTAGTTTTTCACTAACTGTTCCAAAAAATAGAAGCATAAGGACCAATTCCTACTCATTTTGTAAGGCCATAGTTATTATTCCTTAGAAGTAAGGACATCAAAACTTGGTCTCCTTTACTTTGGACATTTGTCAGGAGGGATCAGTCTCTAGAGAAGGACATTTGTAATAATCTAGAGGGGAAAAGGAAAACCCCCAGTGACATGGATTGACACAGAAGACGCAACAATCTGTTCAAACAGCAACAGTTTTGAGGGTGGTGCCAGGATGGGCAATCCTTGGCTCCACTCCATACAAGGTGACCATGCGGCAGGTGCTCTGTAGTCCTTAACCTTTTTACTCTGATTCCACATCATGCAAATCACAGGAATCGAAAGCAACAGAAACAAAAAGTCGTTAGCGTAAATCTAGCAGACCAAACCTATGAGAAAGGATTGTGCCCATGACCAGGTAGGACTGAGACAATGAATGCAACTGAAGTCAATCGGTAAGATAGACCATACTAATGAAGAAAAGAAAGCACAGGATCATCTCAGTAAACACGCAAAAAGCATTTGGAAAAATGTAATACCTTTACATAATATAAACATTCAAAAACTAGGGAGAAAGGAAAACTTTCTCAACCTGGTAAAATATTGACATAAATTTTTTGTCACAACTAATTCATAGCAAATACATTTTTAAGAGATATAAACGCAGGTTATATACCTGGATTTCACCTGATGGTATGCATAGGAATCAGATCTATTACATCTGTGGAAAGAACTGCTGGAGAAGCTCAATATCAGCTGTGAAA